ATACTCAGATTGAATCCTTAATAAAGTTTTCGAGTATGCCTCCAAATATATGGATGAGATATTGCTCATTAGATTTCTACAAAGTACGAACATAGTTGATTTCAAAAAGAGAGATGTAGTGGGGATCCAACGACCTTTAGGGTGAGAGAGGGTATCTTAAGAAGGTAACTACAAAGTACAAACATAATTGTTTTCGACATTTCAATGTTCATCTCCCATTCAACTCTTTCATTGTCGACGTCTTGTCGATTTTAAATGTAACTCATACCCAACTCCATCATAATAGTTGGACCCTTTCTACAATAACTTAGTAATGAAACAATATCCATACACAAAGCTTCTTATTACAACTTACTACTAGAGTAATTAAATAGTTTAATATAAGAATTGTTTTGATTAAAAGGGGAAAAATATAATATTTAGAGAACATTGTTGTAGGAGGATATATACTTCGGACACGATACAATGCTATGGGGTGCCTAATAAAATATTTAAAAAAAATATTAAAATAGAATGACAATGTGTTTGGATGCAATTTTAAAAGAGTTTTTTTCTTCAGAACTTCTCAATTGAAAATAAAAATTTGTTTTTACTAAGAAACTTTCCAAAAGTTTTTTTAAGTTTGTACTAAAAGGTTATCTTCTTTAATTTTTAAAATACATTTTTGTATGCACATATATAACTATAAAATGAAATACCGTGTCAATTTTTTAAGTTCAAATAAGGGAACTGTTCTATGAATGTTGAAATGCATAAATGTCAAAGCATAAATCATCTCTTGTAAGCACCGGAAAGTATAAAGGGAGCACATATAAGAAAGTACCATACAACATTGTGACTTTAGTGACATACATATTGGACCATTATATATATAAGTTAGCAAACACCACTTATTAGAGGATGAAATGGGCTTAATCAGCATCACCCAACGTGTCTTTGTGGGTAGCCACAGGGAGGAGCATTTATATTATATTTAGGACATCATCAACTTGCTAGTTTGAGTGTCACTTTGACCGGTTTCAATTCATTGGAAAAGTTTTTATTTTCGTTTTCGGTTAGTTCATTTTTTTCATGTAGTGTATCTTCTTTTGAGTAGAATGAGGCTTTTTAACATAAAGGGGATGATTATTTTACAAAATTTATATAATGGGTTAGTTTTTTAAAAATAAATTCAAAAAAGAAATAAGTCGTTTATGGAGAAAATATTTAAAAAGAAAGTAGTGTTTTAAAGCACGACTCCTAATTTACTGTCATTTTTAATTTAAATCAGTAAAATTCATGTTTAAAACTTATAATATCTTAATCTTTTTGATTAATTTTAAATGAAAGTTGTGTTTTAAATACACGAGTCACTACACTTATTTATCTTATTTTTTAATGTACAAGTCGGGTTTAACAGCACAATTTTAACTTTTAATTTTTTTTTCAAGTCGCCGTCAGTTATTTATTTATTTATTTTTTTTCAAATCAACATAGAGAAGGTGGAGGTCGGCAAAACATTGAAGTTTTTTTTATTCATATGGAAGTTTTAATTTAAATTTATTTAAAAAAAATTGTGATCAAAATATGGTTTATAATTTTTAAAAAAATATATAGCATATTAAAAACACGACTTTTATTTAAAATACAAAATTGAAAAAACTCAAATATAATACGACACAAACACCAAACACGACTTTTATTAATTTAAATTAAAAAATTACTATTAAATAACAAGTCGTGTTTAAAAAAACGATTTCTCTTTTAAATATTGTGTTCCTCGAATACGAATAATTATTTTTCCGAAATTATTGTTAAAAAACTTACTATTATGGGAATTTTGTAAAAAAAAAATTACCCTTTGTATAAAAAAAAGCTGCAAAATGAAGAAAAAACTAGTCTAAATTAATTTTTCTAGTACGGCTCTAGGCCTCAATTGTTGAACAGTTTCTTACATATATAGTGAGGTTGGTCCTGGATTCATGAACTGGGTTCCATTAAATAAGTTTAACTGTAGCTGTAAATATTAAACGAAGGAAGGTGTCCCTAGTTATCTTTAAGGCATGTTATAAACTATATAAACCAACCTCTGGACATTAATAAGTCGTTTTGAGCACTGAATGCTTTAAAAGATCTCAAGCTTAACCGCCGTTTTCCCTTTCGATTTGAAAGTTAGTAGTAATTACTTCATCTACTTTTGTGGGTACAATTGTAACAATAAAATTACACATAGGGTTTGGATAGATACACTACTTACTAGCAATTAGGATGAAATACTTAGAATATTTAGGGAAAAAATTCATCACGTTCAACGATGAAAATTTAAGGATACAAAGAAACATAAAATAATAATGTCAAATAGAAATAACAAACGAACATTTCCACTGGTATTCATTATCGTACATCAAATTACAACTTTTATAGACAAATTTGAAAAGAAAAAAAATGTTACAATCCTTTATATTATTATTATTATTATTTACAAACTTAATAAACCTTTTATCGATAATTATCTCTTCTCACTCGAGTGATGTCTTCTTTCTTCACAAGACCCATTTTTACACATCTTTCATCTTGACCTTAAATTCATCTCTTAATCTATATAATCAAATTAATAACATTATAAATTTAAATGATAAAATTTTAAATTAGAAATTTGAGTTGTTCTCCTAATTAATAATTTTTCTTTGATTATTTTTTTTAACTTCATTTTTAGCTCTTCAACTCTCATCATCATAGATATTTGTTACGATTATCTTTAATAATATTTATGTTTTATAAATTTGATGTGTTTCTCACCGTACTTTTAATTGCAATATTTCTTACAAGTATTAGATGATGACATTTTTTGTACTTGCAACACCATTAAATATTACCAATGAGATACGTTACTTAACTTTCACATTGCCCAAAAAGACAATCAACATAAGGATCTCTATAAAGAATTCACCTTAAGCTTAAATACAATTGTTTTATTGGTTACCAAGTCATGCCATTAACTTTAATATTGCTATTAGAAATAGAAAGTGTTAATTTAATAGAACTCTACTAATAGACCACAAGCTAATTAGTGAATTTGACACATTTAACCTAAAACTTTAAGGTGTCAAATTTGTGAGTTTTTGTTACTTAATTATATCTATCTTTATGCTATGTGAGAGTTCTTACTTACCCTTGCACAGTAATATTCTTCATTTGAGTCTCTTTCACACAGTATATTTCCTTAAAGTAGAAGCTTTTATGTCTAGGTATTTAATAGTAGTTTTAGAGTGTGTTTAGATAGAGAATATAAACAGGGTAATTCATTTATTTGAAGAATTTCAAATTTTTTGAGATGAAATATTTTATTTAGATGAGAAATTTACAAAGAATTTAAAATTCAAGTATTTGTGAAGTTTCTTAAAATAGTAAAATTTCAAATTTTTCCAAAAAAATTAAGAATTTAAAGATTTTCATATTTGTTTTTTTTATTTCACTTATATATTTTATCTTATATCTTCATTCTTTTAATTATTGAATATCCAACAATATTTTAAAAATTATTAAATATTATCTTATATTAATTTTTAAAAATTTAAAAATTAGTTAATATTTATTTTTATAAATTTTAATTTAAAAACTTCAACATATGAATATATTTTTAAAATCAATTTTACCATGATGAAATCAAATTATATCCAAACAAAAATTTTAAAAATTTGAACTTTACTTATCCAAATAAAATATTTTTAGAATAATAGAAATTGAAATTAAAGTAGTTCAAATACCAATAATTTTAAATTTTTTGAATTTGTAAAATCTCTCATTCAAATACATTATTAGAGCTTAGATATTATCATCAATACAACTTAAATAACGACACCATCATTAATTTATATTTATACACACTACTTTACTAGTCATCAAGCTTCAATATTTATTTAAGTAGTCACTAAGTTACACTATTAACTCTTATACCACTATTAGAACTCTTGCTTCACACTCAACAATAATGAAGATCAAATTAAAGAATATGTGGCACACAAAATAATACCATAGAAATGTAGAAAAACACAAACTTAATTTGATTCAACACTTGTTACCTATTCCACGAGAACATCTAAATAAATATTTATTATCTCAAATTATTTTACAATTTTTTTTTGCACATATTTGAGAAAATTTTCAATTACAAATTTCATGGGCAAACTTGATAAAACTCAATCATTGATAACCTCCTCTCACTCGGGTGGCGTCCTCTCTTTTTATAAGGTTATTTTTTATATAAATTTTGTCCTAATATTAAAACCAAATTAGCAACATTTTAAATTTAAATATTAGGTCATTTTTATATACCTTATGCCCTAATATTAAAATCAAACTAAAGACATTTTAAATTTAAAAATATTAAAAGTTATCCTTATCTAACATCTTAAAATTTTGAAATATTGCATGGAGGAAGTTATTCAAATAAATCCTAATTATTTCTAATCTTATGGCAGGCATATATCTCTGTTAGGATGAAAGAGGCGAATGTCAATGGTTAACTGAAGAGTTGCTAGTGTTAAGTGTGTTTAGTGGTGCTTTCGCGGCACCTAAAGTCAAGATTTAAACTTGTCAACTATTTTTTTCTCATCTTTTAAACTTGTTTAGAAAAATGTTTGGTTTACGACTTCGTGTTTGAAACCGAGAAAATGTGGTTCTAATATAAACATTTATAAGGTAACTTTTTACATTAGATTGAAAATTTTAATTATACAAGTTTGTTCTATAAATTATAATAACAAGTTTTAAACGTATATTATTTCATTATAAATTTGACTTTAATCAAAATTAATTTCATAAAATTATTTCATCCAAACAAACACAATAGCAAAACCATATATATGGATTTTCTGGTTAAGATTAAGTTCTGAATAACTATACGTCCTTATTACTTGACTCGCGAATTTATCGAACGAATATAATGTCAAGTTGGCAACGCATGACAACAAAATCGTGTTATGAAACCAACAGAGATGCAACTGCGCAGCAGTTTATGGAACAAGCAAATTATTTTTCCTCAGTAGTAAGAATAAAGAGTACGAATTGCTAACTGGGGCTTTTATTCATACAAGCACACAAAGGCATTACATGTTGGAATATTAACTCGTAATCAACATTTCTCGCAAACGTTATGGCAACATCTCAAACGCATTTTCTACCCACCGCCACCGTCCAATTTATTCGATTAGTTTCTACCTTTTCTACATGCCATGCCATATATATTCTGCTGCTCATCATCACTTATGCCCCTCTTGTTGAACCTTTTCTTGAGTTTCCTTTAGCCGGAAGTATCCGAATTCTCTTTGCCACTCGTACAAAGTCCCTAATTAATAACAACATGAAACTAGTCACCTCGTATATATAATATGATAAATGTTCATTTTCCTATGCAGATCCATAACAGATATGATAGCTAACACTTTTTTTATCAGATAAAATTCATAACAACTACAAAATTATGATATATTATTGAATAAAGTGTAAGAACTACTTTTATAATTTTTAATATTTTTTTTAAAAAAATTAAACTTCTCTCCTTACACTATAAATTCTCTAATCAAAATTAGAACTTAATATGTACATTAAGAGATAAAATTCTAATTGGACGAACAATAATTACATTACTACTGTATAAGTTTTGTTTTAAGAAATAATCTGTCTGAAAGAGAGCGTGAAAGAGTATATTTGTGACTTTTACGCATAAACAGTGATAAAAACTCATAAATAACTAAGGAAGAAAGAGAGAGGAAGTTGTAGAGTGTGAATGTAAAAAATTACAGTAGTAATTAATTAAGCTTTAAAGGAGGTTATTACTTCCAGGTAAGGTCACCAGCTAGAAGAAGATCGTTCTCCATGTCTTCATAGGCAATAACGTGACCAGGAATGGCATTGGAGAGGTTAAGATCGTCACTGTCACCAGCATCTTCGGCAAACATCTGACGTAGGGCCTTGGCGAGGCTTTGGTAGCTACCATGGTTATGGAGGCTGATGCGTTGGCAGATGGAACGCCCCTCTAGCACAACCGTCACTGCAGGAACCACGTTGGAGACAAGATCATCGTCTTCAAGCCCAGGGAAGCCTTCGAATTTGGTCCTATACTTGTTGTTGTTACCAACATAGAAAGACAAGGAAGAGGAAGTTGAAGGTGCACCACCCATGATCTGTCTCCTGTCTTGCCATCTTTGTTTGAACAAGTCTTGTCTTTGGGGGTCAAAACTGTTCATTGTATCACAAACTCGGTTTTCTGGCTAAGTGGTAATAAACTTTATGAAAGACAAAAAAAAGATAGTGTGTGTACTGAAAAGAGAGAGATGTTAATGCAGCGTGGGAGCTTGAGGTGTGAAATGGAATAAAAGTGAAAAGGGTGGCCAACTTGAATGGAGTTTGGTAAGAGTTCAGATCATAAAGAGGTAGTGATCATCAAAATCTGAGAGGTTGTGGGGTTGGGGCACTATCTTTGATGGTGCATGTATTTGATGTTGAAAAATGAAATACATATAGAGAAGTGAGAGAGAGAGAGATAGCACAAATGTCGGGAGAGGTCAGATAGGTGTCTAGAATCCACCCCAGCCTCGTGGCTTAGTTTTCCTTTTTCAAGGCCATTTAATGGACTCCCCTAACTCTTAATTTCTCTCTGTCAAAATATCTCACTCACTTTTCAATTTTCATCTCAGTTCCTTAAATTCACTCTATCCCCCACCACTTAATTAATTAAACTCTCATCTACACTTGTTTTTCATTATTCTTAGGTTAGGCAAATGGGTGGGAATTGTAGGAAAAGTACGAGATCGAAGAGGGTGGGGATGTTTGCTTGTGATTGCAAAAGATGGTGTTACCATAGGACTACTATATTTTATTGTGAATAGTTTAGGACTATTAAAATATTAGAGTTTACGTTTATGGTAGGTCTTGTTGTCAAGATCAATTACAATAATACAATATTTCATGGGGATGGCCACAAAAATTAATTTAATGTGTCAACAAAAAGCAAGCTTAGCTATGCACACGAGATTACACTAAAGAAAGGTTAAAACAATCTTCAAAATTGCAGTGTGCATGAACAGTGGAGAAGACCGCGCTGCGGTCGCCGAACGGTTTGCTACATTGAAGAACCCAACTATTCATTTTAATTTGCAGCATCAGTGAAACCTTTCAGAACAGAATTATAATCAGTAATTACAACAATGCTATAACTGAAAAAACTCTTATAATGAATATATCTACATTTTTGAATTTGATTTTCATATACATACATATACATATTTATTTATCTATTTGTCCTTGTCTATATCAATTTATAGTAATGTTCGAATGTATATACATCACGAACATTGATGAAATACATGGAGAATTAATATATATTTGTGATCTAAACTCAATAATATAGCAATATATTTCACTTTTAGTTACAAAAAAATTGCCAGCCTATTGCTTAATTAAATAGCAATAACTTATATAATTATTGTTACCAGCTATATTATAAATTTTATAGTCATATACAATGGCTCTATGAGCTTAGTGTCTCTAAACTTGCCTAGAAAAACTCAATTTGTGTATCAGATGTGCAACTATGTATATATATAATTAATTAGAATTATTTAATTGTTATTGTAACAATTGCGTTGGTATCATTATTCTTTTCCGAAGGCCAGTTTTTGCTTAACTGGTTCACAATTATGTGTGCATGCCTGATGAGAACACAGTCACGATTTCAAGCTGAAAGTAGGCAGGGCCAAGTTTCTAGGATATTATAAGTTGGATTTTGTTGACCTTAATTACTGTTAACTTGAGAAGTTTGATTTCATTGACCATTTTAAATCAATTTATAAATTAGCTTTTAGCAAAACAAGCTGAAGAGTTACCTTCAAACCTTTTTACTGCTAAGCATATTCATAGCTAACACAATTAGGCACAATTTTCTGGAGGTAATTGTGTAAATAACTGTAATCAACAAATCTTTTTTTTTTTTTTTCCTTTAAGTTTCAAATTAACTCACTTGCTGTCGCATGTGGTATGTTCTAATGAAAAGAACATCAGACACTATGAAGGAGCAAGGCTTAGATTAATATTTTTCACACAATGGGTAATTTAGTATATATTCAAAATTTGTTTCCGGGTTACACGGTTTACGTAGATCACAAGGCCAGCATTTAGTTTGTTGTTAAATGGAAAAGAGGCTTGAAATTGAAGTAGACACCACCAATGCAAAAACACAAAGTAGCTCAAGTTTCGATTTTCAGGTGACAATTGGCTTTATCAACAATGCAAGCAACCTCTTGTGCTGCAACTTGGGATCATAAATTCTTCTCTTTGGGATTCGATGTTATGTGGAGTTTGTGTCAGTTGTCTCTGCAGAGTGTGAGTGTTCATACACAATCCCTACCGTATTGTTAGTAGAAATACGGTTTGTAAAAGCATCTCTTTTATTCCGATTCTACAAAATGCATATATAGGCTTAATAGATAATGTTCTTTATTTTAATGAAGTGTTTCTTGCGCATGAATTTTATACTTTATTTGATCATGTGAATGGAAGACAGACAAATTCAGCAAAAGAGAAGTTGCTCGGGTGAAAGATAATTCAATAAATGTAGAAAAATAAATAAAGTTCATCATATGATGAAGGATAGTTTGATAAAAATGAACTAGAAAATTACAAAAACTATAGAATAAATTATTGAGATAAATCTTTATCTATATTATGTGTAGGGAGTTATTTATAATTAGTAAATTATCGTGAGAAATAAAAATAAGAAATATAAACTAACTTTTTGTGGCCACACGCCTAATTGTATTTTATTATTTAAATAAACTGTCAATAATATACTCTTTTTCAAATTTCTTTATGTTATCAAAATACAACCGCGTGCAATGCATAATGACAAAGATTTTTACAAGATACTAACAAAAAAAAAATACGCTAGCACAATAAAAAAAATAGGATATATATATAGAGAGATATTTAAAAGTGATATCATCTTTTAGTCTTCACAAATTTTCTTAGAATTCTTTATTCCTCGATTATATTGCAAATCACCTAGCTAGCTATTATTATATATAATTTATGTGTATTTCAATCTTCCACTTCATTTATGTTTTCTATATCATTGAACTAATATATATATATATATATATATAGTCCATTTCCAAAAAAGAAAATTATGGATAGATAGATAAAATATAGTGCTCGTATTTTCACTAGCTGCTATCAATAACTATATCTAATATAAATGAACTATTAAGAAAGTGAGTACAAAAAGTAAGAATAGATAATCATACATGGTGAGATCTATTTAAACACAAATATGTTTCTTATCATGATTCCTTAAAAATAAATCAAATCATTTTTTAGAGGAATGAAAAATTAAAAAAAAAATTGTCGAGACCAAAATTCAAACTCACTAATTTTATAAAAACAAAATTCTTAATAAATAAATAAAATTTGCAAATTTTACAAAATTTATAAATTATTTGATAATTTGTTACATTAATTCAAACTATTGTATATTTATAAAAAAAAATATTATCCATTAGTTTAAATTCATATAATGAAATAACATATAGTTTTCAAGTGTTATAAAAAAATTTGGTGGTTTAATCAATTATAAAAAAAATTTAGGTAATAAGTATGATTGACACAAACTATAATAACTAATACTACCTCTGACCCTAATTATAAGTAATATGAGACAAATTATCAAGATTAAGAAAAATAATTAATATGACTTTTAATTAATTCTACCATGAATTCAATTTTTTTTTCAAATATATCACTTACTTAAAGTGATTATCATATTTAATGTTAGTTTATAAATGTGTAAGAAATGTAGTTAATGAAAAATAACCATATAAAAGAAATTTAACTCTTAGTAACTTTGGAAACTAAATTGTTGAAGAATAAACCATTTTTTAGCATGGTATTAGCAAGGGCATTTAGCCTCTCGGGACCTTAATTACATTATCTCTTTCAGTGTTTTTTTTTTATTAAATTCAAATTTGAAACCTTGAGACTTGAAGATCAACCGCAATATCAGTTGGAGAAACGATCATTATTAAGAAAAAAAACCATTTTATTATTTATAATTAGAATCAAATGTAATACATGATAATAAAAGGAGGAGCATAGAAAGTTGACACATAATTAAAATAAGTCATCAAAAATGAATTTTTTATCCTTAAATATTTTTAAAAATATGCAAATTAATTTAGATTCAAAGACATACACATGCTATATTAGTAGAAAAATTCAAATAAAAAATTATATATATATATATATATATATATATATATCAAAGTGTTGTGTTTATTATTCGTTTTGAGAAATTAGGTCTACACCAAACAATTTTTGACATAAGTTTTTTTTTTTTTTTTACTTTTTTGGTTAACTAGTTATTTTTTTGGTAAAGATAGAAAATATTACAAAGATGAAGATTGAACCTAGATCCTCATGTTTCTAACTATCCAAACCCCTTCCCACCCAACTACTAACCCTAGTGGTTGGTTAACTAGTAACTGATTTCTCAATGTACTTTTTTACAATTTCAATTTTTTATAATATTATTGTTTTATATAATATATTTTCAGTTTAATTTATTAACTGTTGCGGGTTGCATCAATTGTCCCGTGGCGGAGGCTAGGTGGGTCAAGTCACTGTCAAATCATGGTGCTTGGGCTGCTGCGCTCTTAAGTAAAAAGAGTTGCGCCCTGACTATCAGCTA